CACAGCAGTGTCCGGCGCAGGCTCTGGTAGGGAGAGGGCTGCAACTTCAGCTTCACGGTGCTGTCTGGGCTACCAGGGCCACGAGAATTGCTGTAAGGAAGAAGGGGAGCTGCTGCAGCACCCTCATCCCGGCTCCGGGCTTGTCCGGTTGCCCCTGTGCCGGGAGAGCTTGTGCCAAACATCTGCCAGCAGGCACCGTGACTCTGCACCGCTGCTGCGGGCTCGACAGACCTGCTCCTGCACTTTCTGATCCTTTCTTCAGCCAAAACTCCCCATAGGGAGCAACCTGGGGAAGCCCCACCCCAGGGCATGCCCTTACCCCAGCACCCTGCTCCTAACGACCCCTCTGCGGCCAGCCCTCGGCAGTGGTGGTGGGAGGGGGGGGCAGCTGCCTCCCGACCTGTCCCTCTGCCCCCAGCCAGTGGTGAGTGAGCGGTGGGGAGCGCAGCAAGACAGGGAGGGAGCAGGATGGGGAGGGAGTGTGGCGTGGCATGACTTACTGTGGAGGTGGAAGCTTCTTGCTGGGGGAGAAGACGAGTGGTGGATCTGGAAGGTCATGAGAACACAAGGGGATCACACAGCAAGCAACTCAAAGTGATGACGAGGAGACGGTGGCACCCACTCAGCCCTACTACCGCCCCTGGTGAGCCCCCCAGCCCCAAGCTGGCTTGTCCCCTCCCTGGGCACTGGGTCCTGCCACCTGGCATGTAGTGCTTTGAGCTCTTTGGGAGTCCCGGGATCCAGGCGCCTGTACCCGGCCGGCTGGTTCCTACCTTGCCTTCGCTTCTGGATGCGGGCGGCACGCCGGCGGTTCATGATGCAGGCAGCCAAGGTGCTGAAGATGACAGCAACGCTGAGGAAGCAGATCCCCCCAATGCCCCCAGCCAGCACCGGCTGCGGCAGGAGCTCCGGCAGCTGGGTGCGAGATGGATACACCTCCATGCCTGGGTCAGACAGGAGACACTGTCAGAGGCTCAGTTACCTGCACAGCATGCCAGCACAGCAGGCACATCTTCCCTCGCGTTGCCAGCACCACAGGGATAAACAGCAAAGCTTCGGCTCTCTCGCCCCTCAGGGCTGGTCTGCATCCAGGCAGACCCGTGTCCTCCGCTGTGCTGGGCGGCAGGAGCAGGGATGCTCTGCACAGAGCTCTCCTGCTACCTGGTCAGTGAGACCGAAGTCACGCCAGATCCGCACGTGGAGATGGGTGTTCCCACGACGTTAGCTTTGGGGGGTTCTGCCCTGGGCTCTGCGTTCCCTGGCCTAGCAGCAGGGACACTTTGGGGCGCGAGCAGCGTGAAGGGGTTTCTGTTTGGGAAGATCCTAGACCACGCCAGGTACTTTACACCTCTGGTTTCCGTCCCCAGGGCAGGAAGAGCAAGTGGGTGGCAGCCGAGGCCTTACCTGCTGTGGAGACGTTCACCGTATTGCTGGGATCGCTGATGTAGCTGCCAGCAAAGGCCACTAGTCGGAACTCATAGAAGGCGTCCTGGGGGAGCAGAGGGCCATTAGCCTTGTTGGCACAGTGGCCAGCCAAGTCTCAGCCCACATAGCTGCAGAGCCGAGTGGCTCTGCGGCACCGCCAGATGCCCCAGCTCCAGGTAGCAGCGATGCAGGAGATCCGATCCCCTCCCTTGCTGTGTCCCCCCCCAGAGCTGCCCCTCAGGGAGCACCTGGTGAGATTCCCACCTTGATGAGTCCTGGCACCAGGACCTGGGTCTTCGTGCTGGGGATGGAGCGGTCCAGGACCTCCCAGCCGCCCTTGTCGTGCCGCAGCTCCAGCGCGTAGCCGCTCAGTCCCACCGAGAACTGAGCCGGGGGCTCCCACTGCAGCAGAACCCCACGCACAGTCTCGTTGGCGGTCAGAGCCTGCGGCGGGGACAGGAAGATGCGCATGGTCATGGCTGGCGGCTCTGGAGGCACTGTGGTCACTGGGAAGCCTGAGGAGAAAGGGGATGCTCGTGTAGGAGGTGATGCAAGGGGACAGCAGGGCAGAAACAGGAGCTTCCCAGGTGCTTGGGGGCTCTGGGGGGACAGGGGATGCTTTGGGGACCACACTGGCCTTCTCTTACCCCTGGGCATGGAGGTGACAATCTGGCTGAAGGGGCCGCTGCCCAGCTTGTTCTGGGCCAGGACGCTGAACTGGTAGCTCATGTCTGGCTGCAGATTCTCCACCAAGAGGTGCTGAGCCCCCACCGGCACCGAGAGCGACACCCAGTCATGGTGGGCCCGGGGCGGATGCTTCACCCTGAGGAGATGTAGAACCCATGAGTCCAGAGCCGAGGGCCTCAGGTGGGGAGGAGGCAGTGTGGGACACCGGAGTCTGCCTGCGGGGACTCACAGCGGCGTGTACCAGACGCTGAACCTCTGGAAATAACCTCCATCAAACCCTGGCTCCC